TATATATATATATATATATATATCCAATGCTTTTTTACCCTTAATGATCTATCAAGGTGAGCCGGTTTTAATGATCATGATAGCATTGGTTAATTAAGTCAATTTAGCCTAGCTTAATGAGCTGTGCCTTCTTTAGTTTCATCTTCCTGCTATTTGGTTCCTCTTTATGGCTTGATGTCATGTTTTTTGTTCAGATTTCATCATACTGCCTTGTTTTAATATGAATGTTTCATCTCTGTTTCACCGAGTATCTCTTTCTCCCTCTTTGCTTTTCTTTTTTTTGATTAGCACTCACATCCTGCCTTTTTATCTTATGCCGTGTTTATCTTTAACATCTTTCTGTTTCTCATCTTCTATTTTTTTCCTCCCTCCTCTTCATTTTAGCTACCGTTATTATGATGGATGTGTTATTGTAGAATGGCACTGGTAAGATGCAACATTTCTCAGAAGAGGAGTAGAATAGAATTGATATCGTGTTTGATGTGGTTTTTTCCCCCCTCCTCACCCCGTAATGGAGACAGTGGCTGCTGCTGCCCCGTGATTCATGGATTGCAGCGTGACTTTTGCACCGATGTAACTTTGAATACCAAACTTACTCTTGAATTGAGCTTTCTTAGAAGATGATGGACTGAACATTTTTAGCTTAGCATAGAGTCCTCCCAATTCAGATAAGGAGCTTCAAATGAAATATGCTAATGCTGTGATGTAAAAGATAAAAAAAAATGTCTGTGCCGTCATCAAAAACTTTGCGCTATTGATGTCTTAAACATTTTTGGGGTGATTTGCATTTAGAGCATACCTTTGGTTAAATAATTAACACCCCTGTTGGCCTGATCACGGCACTTCTTTTTTCCTCTCCCAGAAAGAGCCTATGAAATGACTTTATGTAGATTTAAAACAAATTGAATTGACCAATTGCAATCTCATACATAAATGATCTGTGACATTGCAATGAATGGCACCTCTGCAAATTAAGTCATTTGGAGGGAAATAGGTAATTTGATGTCACAGACTGAAATAGTTCTCTGCTTAAAATTGCCCCCCTTTGGCAACAATTAGTACGATAAAACCTTTTTTTGGAGGGAAAGTGCTGAAAGCTGTCTACTACAGCACTCAGTATATGTATTATATATTTATACGGGCTTTTGTACGGGCTTTGTGACGACCACAATTGAGCTAAAGTGCATAAGTTGCTAAAATGCTAAATTTGACACCCTAAAATGTATTTAAAGCATTTAATTACAATTATTCCTTTACGACATAATTAGCTTTGTCAAATATACTTTACATAAACTATTTTGAAGTTAATGATGCTGAGAATATGAGCAGATCAGTAAGTGATATTGTATTAGTAGCTTTCAGGCTACAGTTCTGAATGGGGCCTAAAAAAGCTGAGATGCACCCGCTTCATTTGTAAGTGAGCTGTTATGCTTTTCAGCGACTGTAATGCAGTCTCAGAAGTTTTGCCTCGAGGCTCCTACTATGCAGCCCTCAAAATCACCCTCATATTTTTATCTGATAACTCCAGAAGAAGATAAGCCGTGCCGTGCTGATATGAGTCGTACCCTCTTCATATCCTGTCCTCTCAACGCATTTCTTATGACCTCTTTTGTCTCTATCATCCGCTATCCCTCCAACAAAACTCCCACTAGTTAGAGGACAACATTTTGTTCTTTTTTTGTGTGTGTCCATTGCCTGTGTTTCTGTGTCCAATCTGGGGGCAATCGCCTTGATAAAGTACCTTTCCCACCAGGTCATTAAGACAGCCCTGGGAAAATTATGTTTAATGGTTGCTCTGGTGAATTCATAAATCATTTATTTCGCTGCGCACCTGGCCCATTTATAACCGCTTAAATGTGAAGGTCTGCCAGCATTTATGAAGGGAACTAGATACCTATGCAAAAGAGATAATTATTGTTAACATCTGTAAATCACTAACAAATCCGCTTCCAAAATGTGGAAATGTATTGGATTAATGCAGGCTAGCATCAATCCCATACAGGCAAGCAAGCCATCGTCCTTCTCGTTGTGTTGTTTCCATCTTCATTTCTAAATTTTTACACTGGATTTATTGCCGCATCTTTGTTTATTTATTTTACCTCTGCATTGCTTTAATATGTGATTTGATTCATTTCTGTCTGTTCTCTAATTTATTTTGTTCTCATTATATGGCTCAGCTATCAGGATTATGAACCTAAGATGAAGTAAGACAAAATTGGAATGGACCTTTTTTTCTCATAATGCCATCTTTCATTTACTCCACCATGAACAAATCAGCACCCAAATCCATCTGGCTGCCTCCCTGAATCATTAACATGATTTATAGTAGAGCACTCAGTCACATTGAAGGCCACATTAGTGTGCACAAAGTACTCTGATCTTAGATATACATAGCCTACAGATGAGACAAGCAAGATTAGTTTTAAATGGCACCTGTATTGTTACAGCACACTGTATAGAAATGTTAGTACTGTAGTGTAAATACCATACACCCATCTTCCCTTTATCCAGAACAAAAAGGAAGAATCTGGGCACAAATCAAAGTTTGAATTGAAGGGCTGGGCGTCCAACCCAAGGTGCTCATTGAGGACATTTAAAAAGATTATTACAGGAAGAAAAAGCAACACATAGGAATTAATGACAAATTACATGCGTTTAGAGGCAATGTGGAACAACAATGAATAAAATAGCTAGCTAAAGGCTAAACCTGAAAACTAGCTAAAAGTGGCTAAAAAAGTGAGTGATAAACGAAAGTAACTATTAAGCAGCTGAAAAACTAAAAGTGAAAGATGGAATTCTACTATAAGATTTTTGTATAAAACAATTTAATGATAACTAAAAGTAACCATCAAAATTAATGGCTAATGGCTAGCTAAGAATAGTGATTGTATGGAAGAACTAATTTTCTGAAAGTAACTGATCGGTAGCTAAAAGTAATCAATAAAAAGTTGAAATATAAAGCTTAAGTAATGGCAAAAGCTGAATAAAAGGTTGAAGCAGTTTAATAATAGTGAATATATGTTTAAAATGAATTGCTAAAAATAACTAAAGCTTAGCTTCATAAGCTAGCTAAATTAAAACAGATAAAATAGCTACATGCACTCAATGGCTAAAACAAATGGAAAGCTCAAGATGACATAAGCACAAGGATGATCAGCAGAGATTATCAGTTCACTCTTATAAAATTTCTTGAACCAAAATGATAAAATTTCTCAAAACCAGGTCAAATGAGCACATTAGCAACAAGAAAACAGACTTGGCGACTGGAATTACAGTTTGCACAAACCGCAGCTCAGAAAATATGAAAGTCTTATTTATGTATACAATCAATAATATTATTAATAATTGCTAAAGACAAAGAAATATCACATCAACATGAATTTAAATGTTGCTGTTAAGAAAAAGAGCTAATCACATTAGCTCATCACATTAAAAGCATAAAACCAATAACACTCCCAAGAAATGTAACTATAACAGCCCAGCTATGATGAATCCTGATAAAACCAAAAATTAATGTGCACAAGAGTTGGTTTAGTCAGTCTGGTGCTGTATGTGCAGTCTTTAGTAGCCACAACATGATGTTTCAGGTGTGCATAATTAACCTCCTAGGACCTGGCGTCCACATATGTGGACATCACATTTTGGGTTATTTAGACCAAAATACTCAATTCTGCTCTACAAGGGCCTGATATCCACTTATGAGGACATTATACTGCTACTGTTCTATCAAAATTTTAAACTAATATCCTCATATGTTGCTCTTATTTTCCATAAAAACAAAAATAAGGTAAAAAAAAAAAATCTGGTAATTCTTTGCTTTTACATTCATCGGGCCCCAATCAGCCCAAATATCAAAGAGAAATTAAAAATGCATGCCGTGGAAGAGTTTGGGTCTTAGGAGGTTAAGCTTTGACAAAGCGCACTACATGGATACTGTACATGTAAGGGTAGACGGCACATTCTGACAAGAATCGTGTATTAATGTGATTAAACACTTATCTAGATCTTGCCAGAGGGGTCACCAGAATACAAAAGGGTGCAGGTGAAGGGGAAAAAAAACTGCCACTTCTCTGCGCAGTGCACCAGCACAAAGATAGAGCCCTTACTCTTAATAGACTTTGTAATCTCAAGGGCATTTGTTTCAGATAAACCTTCTGCTTGAGTAAGATTTTACAAGACACTCAGCTCAGGCACTAGAATCCAACATGTAATATACTAATGAATTTTCTTTTCCTGGAAACGAGGACTGTATTTACTGGTCGCCCACACATATAGACTGCACTTAATTTTTGTGGGAGGATCAAAGGCTTTTCTTTTTGTTTGAAAGAGTGCAAGTGTAAAAATAAAGAATAGAAAAAGACTAAAAGGGGAAAAAAATCATTCTCATTTATCATCAGTTTCCTTTCCCTGTTCATTTCAAACTGTATTTATAATTGTGGATTAAGCAGGTTCTTCATTTCCAGACCTTACAGTTAAAGTTGTACCATATTGCTTTATGACCTAATATCTTTGGTGCAGTTTATGTTCCTTCTCCTGAAATGACAGCTTTTATTAATTATTCATCAAATGGCTATTTGCTTACATTTCAGATCTTGGGTGATCGGCGCCATCGCCTTGCTATGTCTGCTGGGCCTAACCTGGGCTTTCGGCCTCATGTACGTCAACGAGAGCACAGTGGTGATGGCCTACCTCTTCACTATCTTCAACTCCCTGCAGGGAATGTTCATCTTCATCTTCCACTGTGTGCTGCAGAAGAAGGTCGGCATTTGCGTTCTCTCCCGTATCCAGAAAATAGCACGGTGTCACATTAATTAACCGCATGCACATTGGAATTGATTTCCATAACGAGCATGCTGGAGTGTAGCAAGTTTGGAAAGCGGTGAGCTGCTAGTGCGAACCTGTCTGTGCTTTTGAATTTACAGGTGCGTAAGGAGTACGGGAAGTGCCTGCGTACTCACTGCTGCAGCGGCAAAAGCGTGGACAGCTCCATTGGCTCTGGCAAGGGCACCGCCACGCGTGCTCCAGGACGTTATTCGACGGGATCGCAGGTTAAATAGCATTTTTCACTCCTGTAACTTACCACGTGATATGTTCTTTGGAAAAAAAGGTGAACAGCAAGATGATTTCTTTGTAGTGTATGTGCATGCTGCAGCTAGAGGCGGGAAATGATTTGATCCCGAGTGATACTCAGGATTACGTATGATTTGAAGAAAGTAGGCAAGCAAAAGAGTAAGTCTGCAATTCGTTTTCACTGGGGCGGATTTAGGCTGCGCGTCGGTACAGTGACGTTGAGGAAAGTACTGGCTTCAGCTTTATGGGGAATTTGTTCATGCTTACAAATTCAAATTTGACTGTCTATGCCAGGGTTTGTAAATTCGGTGCATAGATGGTAAGTCTCCTTGTAAAGTAAATTGTTAATGGATTCCACCCACGTTGACGTGAAGTATAGGATGAATTGGCGCGATACGCCGTAGCTGAACATCGTATCCATATCCCAAAGAGTGCGATTTCTTCCAGTGTTCAATTATAAATAGTCCTTAGAGTCAAGCGTGCAGTGGCAACCCACGGTACAAGCTGGATTCCGCACACAGATCAAAGCGTTTAATTATACACAGTGGTTTGACAAGATGGCTCTAACCTCATGCTCAGTCACTTTATATGAGCGAGACAGGAATGGAAACACTCAGAAAGATGTGGTTGTTTATTGCTAACTCCGAGGCTTCGGAATGAATGTGTAATCAGCAGAGCACATTCGAACCCGTCGGCTATGAATGGTTCAAGTTTTTGTCTGTCCAAAAAAAAGGAGAAGAAGAAATGGCACTGTCATTTTCAACCCATCTGTGTCCCTTAGGTCTGGGGACAGAATCGTGTGCAATATGATAATGAGATCAGCTGTGTCAGTATATGTTGCTGTTTGAATATGTGAGCGATGTGTCATCCCGGCTCGAAACAGACGCCAATTCATGATGTGAAAAATGCTTTAAGCTTTTATAAATAAAAACATGCCCTCGGTTTAAATGTCACACTGCGATGGGGAAGCTCAGCGAGAGATTAGGTGAGGTATAGTGACAGCTGCTCCAATTTTAGTTAAAGCCGGAGTAGGAAGAAATATAGAAAAGGTGGAAGAAAGCATTTAGCATATGAAAAAAGACAGCCAGCGTGCTGAGTAACTTTCCCTTTTATTTTAAGTCCTCCTACCTACATTTTGAGCATGTGGAGGTATATATGTTTAAATCTAAAAATGCTTCATGTGGGGTTTGAACCAGTTGCTCTATTGTGCTCTAGCTCCCATTACAGGTGGATAGTTTTCTCTTAGATAAGCGATCCCGAACATATTTTGAGCCACAGACCGGTTTAATGTCAGACAATATTTTCATGGATCAGCCTTTAAGGTGTAAATACAACAAAATAAAAGGATACGACCAAGACAAAAACTGTGATATTTTGTAAATATGATAAGAAACGCGAATTCACTGTGTGATTCTGTAACTTTATTAGCAGCGTCCTCCTGAAATGCGCCAACAACACTGAGAGTAACATCCAGCCCATTAATGCTCTCTGGTCGCTATGTTAACGCGTAAACATTTCTTTCAAAATAAGACGCACAACTACAACAAGACCCAGGAAAACCGAGTTAAAGATAAAAACCCTGAAAACCATAAATTTCACACCTGAGCCTCAACTCAGTACCGGTCCGGGGCCCGGGGGTTGGGGACCGCTGTCTTAGACCTTTGAATTGCATTATTTTTTCAGGGATTTCAGGGATTTGAACCAGCCTTCCATTTATGGTTACACAATGAGTCTGTATTTAAAAATATTTTCCATCACTTATGAAAATCAAGAATTCACCATGGGTAAAATTAAAGGACTGAGTGAATAATCAAACCAAATGAAAACTTTAGCCAGATTGCATTTAGTACCCAAATTATTTTTAAGTGGACCATAATAAGCTCTGCTTTAACTGGAAACTGTTCCACACACAAGTCTAGTAGTAGTAGTAAATCATCAAAATGAACAAGATTCATTTAATTAAAAATTTGCAGTCGGCCGCATCGATTAGTTAGATTTATAGGGTTAGGGCCCTGTAACTCACATCCAGTCACAGGTCCCCTAAGGGAAGTGCAGATGGAGGCTTGACTTGTTATTGGTGCACTGGTGAAGGGGTGAACCAGTGATGGGGTAAAGGCTGCAGTAAAAGCAGACAGATGAAAGGCGTAATGTTGTTAAACTCCATGAATGGATTACTGGGAGGATAATTTCCTCCTGAGAAGTCTGGCTAACTTGGAGTCTTGCTTAAAAAGTATTATATACAGATGTGACAGATTAAAGGAAAAACCCATGACCCTTGAAATCCGTTGGTCTGATAAGTATGAAAACTATGTTAACTGAATTTTTAACCTTCAGTTAAAAAAATCTCAAACCAATCAATCCCGTGTCTGGGAATTTCAGGGTCATTTAGACCACTTTTTTCACCAGCAATGTTAAAGCAGAAGGGTGTTCATTGTCCCCAGGAGAGTTTCACACATGCACATAATCAATACCAAGGTGCATTGAAGCTGTTCTGGCCACATGTGGTGGAAAAACTCCTTAGTAAGGCTCCAATAACACAGGCCTAGAGACTGTTTGGCAACTTCAACATGCTCTTGTGCATTCTTTGGTAGCTACTAGATTGCCAGTGTCACCTATAATTTGCACAGAGGACACAGACAGAGTGGAAATTGCTCACCTTCAAAGTAAAGGCCGTGCCTCAGTGCTGCAACCAACACGGATCAGAAGGTGGACCTTTTATTTTAAAGGTTGCTCAGTGAGCGGTTGGCAAGTGTCTGCACACAAGTTGGCGATTTCCATAAAAGACGCCAACTACAGGTAACTGTAACAATCTGCCAGAGCAATCGCAAGGAGGCTTTTTCGTGTAGCACAAAACATCACTTTGTGGCCAATTTCACCTGCTGCAACCAGCTGCCAACTGATTGAGGAATACATATTTTTTTCATATGTTGCCACGGGTTACCAAACAGCCTTTATCCCTTTTTTCCCTACATTTGACAACCAAGCCTTGTTTCGGCCTGGTTAAGTATACCATCACAAATGTATATTTTTCAAAACAACAATTTTTTTATACTTTAATCAGAAAACTCTCAAATGTTCTGCACACAGGATAGAAAGGACTCTTTTCTATGGTTAGATGCACTCCCTTAGCTTGTGCAATAGCCCACGGGACTGTGATAATTAACCAGGATGAACTCTGTTGGATTGAGCCCTTTCCAACCCAAGATACAGACTCAAGAGAGCTTGACTGATGACTTTATTATTGATTTAACCTATCACAGTGCTAATGCTCATTTTTAATTGGAGGTTACTTATCCCTACAGCTGACATGTTTCAGGGTTAAATACTAGATTCGAAAGCCGATAGCATCTCTTTTTCTTCATATCTCAGCCGTTATTGAGCTGTGAAGAATATGAGTGCACGCTTGAGGAAATATGCTGAAAGCCTGAGACTTTTCACTCGTCCTCCATGTGCAGACTTCTATTTTTTTCCCCCAGAGTGAATATTTTTATAAGGTGAAATGTTATTTTTCTCCGCAGAGCCGCATCCGTCGAATGTGGAACGACACGGTCAGAAAACAGTCCGAGTCCTCTTTTATGACCGGGGACATCAACAGCTCTGCATCGCTCAACAGAGGTATTTGTTTCCGCAGCACATCTTTTCTTGAGTGATTCAATACACCAGCCTTCACCTCAGAATTTATGACTGTGACTGAGAAACTTTTTTTTTTTTTTTTCTCTCTCTCTCTCACAAAAGCAACGCTATTTTTCTCAAATTGCGTTTGGACTTGCATTCCTCTTAATAATGACACGAGGGCTTTGCAGAATTAAAAGCCTCTTTAAAGCTTTCAGCTGCAAACCTCAATCCAGCTGTAAAAAGTCAAGGCAAATCACTCATTTCACAGCAATTTTCCTCACATACTGCGAAATAATTAAAAACGCCAAGTGAGATATGCATCTCCCCCACCCTACTTTGCTGTTAATTATTACCAAATACCACAGCAAGGTTTACAATGTAAGAAATCACGAAAATGAAAACTCCTGCCAATAGAGCTGCAAATTCTTACCTGTTCAAGTGACAGATTGAAAGGATAAATGCTTCACCGCTGCAGAAAATTGTTTATTATGTCTTATTTTGAAGTACAAACCAACCGTTTTCTATCGTTTTGTTAGGAAAAGTAACACTAAATAGATTAGGTGATAGAGAGAATAGCAGGTTCTAGGTAAATCATGCATTTCATCACATTTAATTCATTTGATGAGTGTGCAATAAAGGATATATTGAACACCCCGCCCATTCTGCCTGTAAAAGCCTTGAGTGAGAAACCAGGAAAAGTGCTTACTGAAAAACCTAAAAATCAATTGGCTGGGAGCTTCTCTCATATATATGTGAGTAAAGAGTTTCCATATAATTCATTGACAGACAGAGTAAACTTTGGAGTCTCTCAGGTTAACGGGAGCAAATGCTGCGCTCGCTGGCATCCCTCCCCGACCCCCGACATCTCTTGACGCGAGTGCCACACCGCTCACTCTCTAAATTCGCTCTGGGCGTCTGCTCGCATAGACGCTAATGCACACTTACAATGATGGATTAATGTTCGACACCGGGAGGAAGTGTCATGATCTCAATAATTAGGTGCTCGGCTTAGCACCGTCAACAGACGCAGCTTTTATCAATAGTGGGGAGGCTGAAACGGGGCAGGACTGAAAGAAGAGCCTGCATGGATCTCCTGTAAATATATGTTAAAATAAAAAGAGGTAAAAATTATACGTTCATTTCAATCCCCCCGGCCTTCTCACAAGGCTCGATCTGATTGAGAAAACACTCACATGAGCTAAAGAGCATGCTGGGAAGTGTGTTCTTCCATCCCACGTGTTATAAGAAACAGATGCAAATAGAATTTGCACTTCTTCGAGGCTGCTCCCGTGTTGTTATTAAGGAATTATATGTTGAGGAGCGAATATTCCTAGCTGTTTTGTGCTCCGTATTCTTCTTCCCCCCCCGAAACTCCTTGTGTGTGAGAGAGTGAGCCTGCAGCTGACGCTCTGACTGTGATCATCTCGAGAGTGGAGTCATGCAATCATCTTGATAGCTTTGCATGTTCAATTTATCCCAGCATTCAAGATTATTTCTGCACAATCAGTGTGATTCTTTCTTTTTTTTTGGGAGGGGGGGCAAATTGTCCAATTCAAACACAGGCACAGTCAGTGGGGGATCTGTCATTGGGAGAATTCAAGAGGGGGGCTGGTGTTTATGGAATACTCTGTAATTAGGGCAAGCAGCAACAGCAACATCAAATTACAGGTTTTTTTTCTTGTTTTAAAAATCTAAACATCCAGATTCCCAGGCAAAATGATAACGTGGCTAATTAATACTCAAAAAAGTAGGAATAATGCTGAAAGATGAGACCAACGCAGCGGCACTATAGTGCTTTTAAATTTCATTAAGCATAGTCTTTAGACATAAAAAGTACAAGTGCAATTAGAACGCCATAAAAAAAAGAAAGAAGTCTAACTTTTAAGAGGAAGGGGAGAGTCACGGGGTACTATAAAAACCTTTCCCCAGTGGTGTGACAGATTCAGAGCGTTGGAAAAAGAACAGTACACTCTGCCGGAGGATCTAATTGCGGTGTACTCGCACCTCAGATAAAAGATGTTTACCCGCTCTGGCACAGTGCATACAGGAGGCGCGCGCATGTAACGCCCTCACAAGTCTTAAATTCGGCTCCTTTAAAAATAATAGCCTCATACGTTGACGTGGAGAGAGAAGGAAAAAAAGAAAATCAACGACTTGTAAACAGGAAATGAATGCGCCTGAGAAGTATTTTCAGCATACTTGATATCCCGCATAATGTATTCAGACACTTGGATTTTTTTTTTTTTTTAACCATCAGCTACTGTAAGAAAAACAAACATTACTGAATCTGCAGCATTCGTGTTTGAGATTGCAGCTTTCAAATCTGCAGCTAATCACCGGGCTCAGACTGTGAAGGTTGCTTTGGTGCGGTAGTATGTGGATGGGAAACTGATGAGTCATTTGGGCCAGATCCTGGCAGCAAGAATCTGAAGACAAGCGCTGCATAAATAGAAAATGAGCCTCTGTTCTGTTTCCGTGGAAGAGGCGAGGCTGATGCAAAGTAATGACCGTCTTCACTATAGAGAGGACATATCGCTTCATTCAAAGGTTATTTCGGCAACTGCGCAAAGAGAATGAGCAAGTATTGAACTTTGCTCTTTGGAGAAAAGGAAATATTAGACCACTTCATCTCATAAGATTGGCAATGCCAGAAGTAATAATAATGGTGCAGGCCCCGGCTGTTGGTAGGCTTCCTTCGTACTGCTGCACCTGTCAAGCTTCCCATTTTCACACAGCATGCAATTTACAGCGCTAATAGTCAGGGCTCTGCCTCTTGAAATTCTTTTTTTTTTAAGGTAGACAAAAGCAGGCCTATCATTTCTTTTCAGCAGCAGTCAACTTCATTTCCAATGCTATGTCAGACAGTGTAAACTTCCCGCAATTGAGCACAACAGCAGAGCTGAGGCGCTAAAGTAGCTAAACTCAGGCCGAACTTCCACACAGGCAGGACAACAACAACAAAGCTGTGAATAGATCTTATTTTTAACTAGCGTTGTAACAATTTCCCAAATCCATGGTTCCGTTTATACCCAGGCTTATTTTTTGTTGTGTTTTTAAGCGTGTGAAAAAGGGAGAGAATTCTTTTTATTATTTTTTTTAAAGGCTCGATGATGTTTGGATCATTATTTTCCAGTTCAATATTTACCTGAAGGGTCTTTAAAAATGTAAACACACATAAGCGTTTCAGGCATCCTTGGTCGTGCATTTCATTCACTTTAAACGGAGCAGAGTTCTTGCATTGTTGAACTGAATTGTGGATCTGATGCTTTGCTTTGCTTGTGATGAGTTGATAAAAGTTCATGTATATAACGCTTACTGCCAATTGAAGCTGCTACCTGCTCTTGGTGAGTGACATAGGGTTGGGTAGTACATGTTAGAGCAGCCAATCCCAAAGGTAGTGGGGGACCTGTGCCATGAACCTATTTGTTCATGTGAGACACTGGGACTGTTGTGGAGGGCCCACCGATAAACTTATAAAGTTAAAATTAATATCGAGCAGATTGTTTCAGCTTATTGGTGCATCCACAACAGTCCCAGTCTCTCAAATTGGGAAAACTAATTGCCCACCCCTGTATTGGAATGTCACCCAGTCTGGAATGTCCGCCAGCGACCAATGCTCAACTTGAAAGCAATGCGGGATGAGTGAATCACTCCCTGTCTGGATGCTCCTTTATAGTTCAATAATGCTAATTAGCTTAAGTATCACGAGAACATGGCTAATTAGCATATCATGAACACACGTTACCAAAGCTGTTATCAGCCTACATGTGCTGGCCTTCTTAATAAAAACAAACAAACAAAAAAACTAAAGCAAAAAAAGAGCTTTGCTAACATGCAAGTAGCTAGTAGCTCAGCTAAGCTAGGCTAACATACCAGTAGCTTTTAGCTAGCAGCTCAGTTACAGGGATGAAGCAATCCTTCCTTTTCTACTCCATGGCTGTCAGATAAAACCTTATCCTGGGACTGTGTTTACTTCCCAGGCTTCTGCACTTATACATCTTTCTCTTCAACCTTATATCATACTTCTAGTAGTAATGTAATGTGAGCTCAAGCAGTAAAAAGACTCTCAGTGGAGTCGGCTCGAGGGCCATCGTGAAATTGGCGGATGGGACAGCGAGAGAAGAATGTGGACAGCTGTACTGCATATTCAGCTCCAGTCTGAGAAGCAATACACCCCTGCTTTTAAAAGAAATATGCAGCTTTAGCTGTGTCCCCTAGGCCGCATCCTTCAGAGGACCTGGCCTTCGCGGTCTGCGTGGCCTGTGTGATCTCTTGATTAATCGAGCAGATATTTGAAGTTTACACAGCTACATTCTCGCCTGAAAATATCTTAAAAATTCATTTTGTGACCAAGAAAGAGTAATAAAACTAAGTAGCTGCCGCCATTGTTGGAAACTGGAATTGGCTGGGCCGCGCTATGAATTCTGGGATAGGTTGGGCCATGAAGGATACACCCGACTCATCCTTCAAATCCAGGGAAACGAAAGACGCATTTGTTGGCCGCATTTGGAGCAGCCTTCGAATTGGGACAGCCTTCGTCTCCTAGCTCTGACGTAATCGGCCTTCAAATGTGGCCTCTGAAGGACCTGGCCTAGGAGTTGAGACACACCTATGACATTCCTAACATTAATATTGGGGGTAAAAAAAGTAATTAGTAATGCAGTTTCCTAAAACACCCTTAGACAGGTGCGTGCCCTCTGTGTTGTCCTGTTTGAGTCCAGAGACGTACCAATGCCTGTGCTGTATTGGCCATGTCGGTTCTCCTTTGGAAAGTTTACCTGTATACTGCCTGAATGTGGAGCACAAAAAAGGGCTTAAAGCTAATGGCCGACATTAACGGTACAATTAATACACTTTCCATTAGCCGCGTCAGTTCTGCCACTTTCATGTAGCAAAACCTCCCTCACATTAATGACCATATGATCATTTGGATGTTAATGGCTGTCACTGCTCAGCTGCATCTGCCCAACTGATATGTATGTTCTCTCTGTTTCTGTCTATATCTCAATTTATCTACCCACCTACCTTTTTCCTGTCTCCTTTTTTCCTGTCTCACTCTGTCTTTCTCTGGCTGCTCCAGGGGCTATGGCTAACCATCTTATACCTAATGCACTCCTACGTCCTCATGGCACTAACAATCCCTATAATACATTGCTTGGGGAATCGGCAGTCTATAACAACCCTCTGGGCATGTACAACACACAAGGTGTGCAAGCTTCTTTCATTCTTTAACATTGTGGCTAGGGCAGTGTTATTTTTTTTTTCATGTCTGAGCCTGGAGGTACTCTAGGGGGCACATCTTTGTTCCCATCCCAAAACAAAAAGCAACTTTATGATTGGACTATTAAAAGTAATGCACTAAGCTGAAATCCCAGCAGTCGCCTTGAGAGTTTTAACAGCGCTTTAATTTAGAAACAAAAAAAACAACAACACTGCCCTTGCTGTCTCTGTGTTAGCTTTGAACAAGCTATAGCTTTATCATAAAAATCCTACAGGTTTGTTTTGCTGTGGGATTTTTCAGTGGTGTTGCATCTTGGCTTGTGTTCAGAGCCGTGCTATTCGGTTACATAAGTTGCACTCACTCGTGGCTGTTTGGCCAAACACACAGTGTAAAAATGAGGAAATCCTCTGAAATCAAGAGTAGGCGCCTATAGGGAGCCAGATACAACACCAGTCATTTATTTTAAATGTGCTCCTGTGTTGTCAGTGAAGCTCGTGTGTGCTTTGTCTCAATGTTTTCTTGTTTTGTTTTTTTGCTTTAGCTTTTAGCATTGCATTCTCGTGAACACCGCTGTTAGATTCTCAGACACTGTTGTTTTGTGATAAATGTCGCTGAGGCAAGCAAGAATTTAAAAATGCAAATCGCCGGTGCTACATAACAGAGCGGTTTGAAGGAAAAATTCAGAGGTTACAGTTCATTTGTTTCTTTAGCTGTAATTTACGGTGGCCCTGAAAGGCCAAATGGACTGCAACCTAGGAAAACACCAGCAATAATAAAAACGCTGTAAGAGCACACAAAACACAATGGAAATAGGAAAAGCAGAAATAGGAAAAAACAGATTTCCAAAAGCACAAGGGAAGTGTTTCTGGGGAGACAAAAACCAGACGGACCAGCTGCAGGAACCAAAATATGCTAAGTATTGCGCTGGGTGACACTTAAAAGAAGTGGAGGATCTATCGGTTTTATGAGGAAAGATGAGAGGTAAGTGTGTTAGCCTAACTATTAGCCTAAAAATCAGCCATCAGCATTACATGAATCATGAGAATAAAACACACCTAGCATGTTTTGGTTCCTGCAACTGGTCCGTCGGGTTATTGTCTCCCCAGAAACACTTCTCTTGTGATTTTGGAAATCTGTTTTTTCCTATTTCCATTTTTTCTATTTCTGTTGTGTTATGTGTGCTTTTGCTGTGTTTTTCTTATTGCTGGTGTTTTCTTAAGTTGCAGTCCATTTGGCCACTCAGGGCCACCGTAGAAATAGCTATTTAGCATTTCATTTCAAACTTGGTAACTGTCATAATTACTCATTCATATGTTCAAATGTAGATTTTCAACTCAACATAGATTCAGTCTACTTATTGTGATTTAAAAACAAAAAAACAAAAAACATTTTCAGTATCGCAGATATTAAAGCATTCCAAGTATTAGAGCTGGGTATTAGAAACCGGCAAGCTATCGTGGGTCAGTATGACTATAGAAATGCTATTTTATTTTCTCTCTGCAGAGCTATTCCAGCTCTCAGCAACTCAATATGTGTTTGCTGTAACTTTGCGAGTCTGTAAAACTGGGAAAACTCAAGTTAAAAAACAACAACAACAACAAAGAACCTCAGAGAGCTTTGATCAGCTGATAATTTATGTATGAAATACAAAGTGCTTACATTGGAGGTTGTGATGGAGGGCTATGACTCACTTACACTGCCATAGATGAGGAAGAGTAAGACTGCTAATGCATCAAAAGATTTATCTGTCTATTTGACACTAAAGTACCGTATCTGTGTTTTACCCAAGGATTCCATCTTTTTCTCTCTTTCTCTCTCTCTCTCTTGCTATATATATATATATTTGTTTGTTATGAGATATGTTCAGGTTCTTTGTGTGGGTGCACAGAATTTGCATGAGGGTTAAAACAATCTATTGCATTGCAGAAACATTTTCTTGATGAGTCATCAGCATACTATATGTGCGTTTTCCTCTTTCTACCTGTCACTGTTATGCTTACTGTGTTTTCTTTTCTTCTTTCCTTTCCCTCATGCTGTCCCCAAAAGAGCCCTACAGAGAGACAAGTATGGGAGTCAAACTAAACATTGCTTATCAAATGTAATTGACTTTGGCTTTGCTTTCTTTTCACTCGATGCTGACAAAGGGGTAATGAAAACAACGTCATTCCCTTTGGAAGCAATACAATTCTCTTTGTGACAAAGGCCCCTCACCTTGACAAGAATGCCAGTTAAATTGGTTTGAATCGCATCCCGAGTTCCACTGCTTACAGACATTTACACTACTTGGTGTAGTTTCAAAAAAGACAAGAGAGAGACTTCTTCCACTCACATGTCCTAGGCCTATTTGATATCACAGCCTGAATAAGTGAAGCCAGTTACAGCTAACATTAAGATTCACCTCCACGCTTGAAAAGGCACGTCGATATAAATTGATCTGTGATCTTTAATAGAACGCCGTGCCTTCGTTCGCGCACCTTTTATTTGATTATACCAAAAACGTACATAGATATATATTTAGATTTTTTTACGAGGCTAATTTCCTTCTTAGAAGTCTGAGACGTGCATCTTGTCAAATTTTCAAGAGGTCAGACTGCGAGCTTGACACTTTAACGAGCTGGATGGCCTTGTCTGAGGTAGTTTGAATTATCTTCAAATATATGCTTTGATGTTGATAGCATGGACTTGGCTAACTGATAAAGCTATGAAAGCTTCATGTCCATGCAACAGAAAGAACAGAAAGCCTCCTTCCTTCCAGTGTGGCTTTACTTTGAAGCATCAGTTGTGTTCACATTGATAAAACATATCAATATATACCCACCCCGCCTATGCATTTTTACAATGTTGTTTCTAAATGCTCACATGGGACAATATGGTTGGGATCCAAATTCTACAACTGGTGTTCCGGTTTGTGTTTCACTTTTAAGAGTTAATTGCATGGCTTCGATGTGTCCGTTGTCTCTGCCTGCACGCGTTTTGTGCTTTTGTGCCGTGCTCGAAGTTTGGTGCTGTCTGGTATCGCACATGTATCAATGTCTTCATCACTGCCATCATTTAATTGTTGATTTCCATGAAAATGAAGTAAGTCTTGGTATTGAATACAATTTTTAAAAGAAGGTAAGTGTGAGCTCATAGGATTTTACTGTAAACTGTGTGCTTTAATTAAAAATGCTAATCCAGGCCTTTACGTCCGAGTGCATTTCATAGAACTGGGAGGGTTGGTGATTTGATGGCTGCTGATAAAAACAGCATTTATGTCTCACAAGAGTTCACTGTTCTCATTCAGCTGCTATATCCCTACTCATCTTTGTCATTCCAGAGGGAATCCTGAACAATGCCCGGGATACAAGTGTCATGGATACTCTACCACTGAATGGTAACCATGGCAACAGTTATAGCATTGCCAGCGCTGAGTACATGAGTGACTGCGTCCAGATCATTGATCGGGGCTATAACCACAAGGAGACGACCCTGGAAAAGAAGATCCTAAAAGAGCTCACCTCCAATTACATCCCCTCCTACCTCAACAATTCCCACGAGCGCTCAAGCGAGCAGAATCGGAACCTCATGAATAAGCTGGTCAATAATGTTAGCAATGGCGGCAAGGACGGCGGCTACGGGATGGGCTTGGGCGTAGGGATGGGCATGAATGTCGCGCTGGGCCTTGATGACCATTCCACCTTTGTCCCCCACCACGACGAAGGCCTCGGTTTGGAGTTGATACGCGAGGAGTCGAACGCCCCGCTGTTGCCGCAGAGGCCGCCCCCATCCCTGCAGGCGGTGGACAACCTTCACAATCACCTCCACCAGTCGGCACCCCCACCCCTGCCGCTGCCGCACCACCCCTTCTCGTCCGCCAGCGCTTCCTCCTCGTCTCGAAGGAGGATCCCCCAGGAGAACAGCGAAAGCTTCTTCCCTTTACTCACCAACGAGCACACTGAGGAAGAAGGCTCGTCGCCCAGCCACAGCCACCAGAGAGACTCCCTCTACACCAGCATGCCCATGCTGCCCGGCCTGCCCGACGTGTCCGGAGAATCGGCAGACGGCTCCAAGGAGGGCGGCGACGCCAAGAGCCCGGAGGCCAGCTCGGACGACGTTTACTACAAAAGCATGCCCAACTTGGGCTCACGTAACCACCTCCATCAGCTGCATTCCTACTACCAGCTAGGGCGGGGCAGTAGTGATGGCTTCATTGTTCCCCCCAACAGAGAGGATCTATCTCCAGAAGAGGCCCAGCAGGAGCCCTCGCACCTAGTCACCAGCCTATAGGCCCGAACCCCCTCCCACCCGTGCCCATTGTATTCTCGCAGTCCTCTACTCTTCCCCCGTGTGCCCTTGGTCCATCAGTCGTTGGAAGTGGTAGCCTTTATTCTCTTTATTCTGTGTCCCGAAGACTGAGGCGGAGGAAGGAACTGTACCCTCGCTGTTACCGACAACAAGCAGGATAATAATTGCTACGAATGCGGTGGTGGGGGGCGTCGTCGGCAGTTAATATGTGACTCTATTTAGTTAGACACTGCAGAAGGTTGATGTTGTGCCCCCTCTCCTCCACTCGTCGCCCCCAACCCACACACCGAACACCCCACAACACCACATCCACCCCGTCCCCTCCCAAACCCTGTGTGGTTTGCCGTGTTTTGTCTCGTTGTGAAAAGAGACAATTACTCACACAGGATTTTTAGGTCTCAGAGATATAGTGTTGACAGTCTACAGGAACTGCATACCCCTAAAGTCTGAAACTGAAGACTTCACCAGAATTAAAACGAAACAAAAAACAAAAAAAAGACTATTTTATTATACTTCTGTATCTATATTGACTTTTTGAGAGATTTTCTTCCTCTTTGGTGAGTTGCAGCACATTTTGTTTGCTGAAGTGTCCCTTCAATGAAAAAAAAAGACAAAAACCACACATATACGCACACACAGATACATTTTGGACAGTTACCATAAAGGAATTATTGATTGTATGCTTTTAAGCATAACTGTTCTTTTTTTTTGTTGTTGTTTGTTTTTGTTTCTTTCTTTGATTTTACTGTAATTCCAGTTGTTAAAAGAGGGAGAAAAAAACTAATAAGAGAATTGCGAGATATTTCTATGTAACTGTACAGATAACTAGCATTGCACATAATAGTATGCTTTTTTTCCCGTTCCAAGCGAACCCTTTTGTCTCTGTAAATGTAGTGATTAGGAGCAATTTTGTTCTCTTGTGCTGGCCCTTCTGGGCTTTTGGTGCCAGTCTGTTTTTTTTCTTTCTCTTTTATCACTTTCTGAGAAATGACCATCGAAATAGGAGCAAAATTACACAAAAAATACCACAAGAACACACTTATCGTGCCGCATTTTCGTGAACCGTATTCACCTTTCTTTTTCAGGTCTGTTTTTTTTTTTTATTATTATTATTTCCGCCTGGTTCGTTTTCTCTTTCGTTTTCAAATCTCTTTTTTTTACTGTGTAGATAGCAGAGCTCTGATTCACAGATTGTCAAGGAGACAGAATCAGTCCAATTTAATCACGAGGTGTCCCTCAGAAAGTTTATAGTGCATCCTGCATCTATATTGGCATTCAGAAAACGCTTGTGCTTCTCAGAAAGAGAACAAATTGAACCTTGATGAGCACTAGACACTTGTGCAAAAAAAAACAAAGAAAGATGGCTGTTTTACTTATTAAAGAAAGAGCTTTTGAAGTGAGAAAAACTGGAAGTGTTTTTCTTTTTCTTCCTCAAGGAGAAAATCTATTTATTTATTTGTTAAATAAACAGTAATAAAGGATGGGAGCAAGTTTAGCAGCAAAAAGAAGTTTTTCTTATTGGCTATAATTATGGCTTCTTATTTATTCTTTTTTTTTTGTATTGGTTTCCGAGTTGAATGACCTCATAACTAATATTTGTTGTAACAGTGAAACTTGTTTGCCAACAAATAAATTACTGATTAAGATTTATCATGTAGCTATGACAAAAGTGCTGGTGTTTTGTCTGAGTCCCGGGACACTTTTGTATGGATAACAGCCGAAGACCTCCAAATAACGGAACGATCGAGTCTTTTCTTACTTCTGAGTTCGTATTCGTCATTAGCCCTCTGTCCATTTTAGTGCCAAGTCAGTTTTGGCCCCGGCAACAGTGGATGTGCTCTGTATGCTCTGGTCTGCTTTATAATAGAAGCAGTGGTTTCATAAGCTGTAATAAATATTTCAATATCATTGCTGTTGTAACCAATGGATTCTTTACAGATACGGTGTGCTTGATGTGATATTGATAAGCTGCGCTGGAGTTGTGAGAGTAAAGTGGACCGCAGACCGCTTGAAAACAAGTGAGCAGCCTTGCCTCTGAGTAACAGTAGCAACTGAAGGCAGTCGATGTTTATACACTTATTGGACAGGATTTGTTGGTTGGACTTTACTAAGAGCTTTTTTGTATTAAAAAAGAAACAAAAAGGCAAAAAACCCTTAATGACCGTCTAGTCAACCTTAGCTTGTTTTATATTTGATTTTAAAGGTTAAGCAACTCTTACCTGAACTTGTGGCATTATTATGAGATCATAGAGCAGAGTGACATCTGTGAGATCACACATAGAGCACAAAGACAAAGCACAATTAAGGCTGAGCATTTATACTGAGGCAGTAGGACATTAGGTAATGGCAGGATGCTTACATGTGCGTTGATGACTCATGCACTCACTTTGATAGGTACACCTTGCTTTTATCGATTCAAACCCCCTTTTTGCCTTCAGTGCTGCCTTAATTCTTCATGCCACAGATTCAGCAAGCTGCTAGAAACCTTTCTCAGAGTTTTTTGCCCATATTGACACAATAGCATCACACAGTTGGTGCAGATATGTTTGCCGAACATCCATCACACCAGTCTTTCATTTCAACACATCCCAAAGATGCTCTATTCCATTGGAGTACAGGGAACTCATTGTCCTGATCATGAAACCAGTTTAAGATTATTTGACATGGTGTGTTATCCTGCTGGAAGCAGCCACCAAGCAGCTATAGGTACACTGTGTTCATGGACATGGCAACAGTCAGGTAGGCTGTGGCATTTAAATAAATCTCAGCTGATACTTTGGAGCCCAAAGTGCAGAGAAAATATCCCCCACACCGTTACACCACCAACAACCTGAAACGCTGATACGTAGCAGAATGGGTCCGTGCTTTCATGCTGTTTACACCAAATTCTGACTCTGGGACTCTTCGGACCAGGCATCGTTAATTTTGGTGAGCTTGTGTGAATTGTAGCCTCTTTTTCCTCGTCTTAACTGGTAGGAGAGGCAGACAGTGCGGTCTTCTGCAGCTGTAGCTAATCTGCTTCAGGGTTCGATGTTTTTGTGCTTTCAGAAATGCTCCTCTGCATACCTTGGTTCTAACATGTGGTTACTTGAGTTACTGTTGTCTTTCTCTCCGCTACAAGCAGTCTTGCCAGTCTCCTCTGTTCACTGGGATCAACATTTTTTTTTCACTGGATGTTTTCTCTTTTGCGGACTTTTCTCTGTACTCTAAAGAAGGTTGTGTGGGAAAAATCCCTGACGATCAGCAGTTTCTGAAATTCTCAGACCAGCCCGTCTGCCACCAACAACAAGTCACCTAAATCATCTTTCTTCCCTATTTGGATGCTCGATTTGAACTTCAGCAAGGAAATGTGCATCTTTTTAGGCCTATGAGTCACATTTATTTGCTAACATGTAGCTAACTAGCTTTATAACAAAAAAAAAATCAAAAATGGTCGTCTGGTGCAACGAAATCTCATATTTTTAACATTCTGAAGGCATTTTCTTCAGTTTGAGCACGCAGCTGCAAATTGTGGGACCTACTGTTTCCCCCTCTAGTCAGAGATGGCTTTCAGAGTATGACTGTAGCCTTCGAGTGTCTGAAAAGTGAAGCCAATACGGAGATGCATTCTTACTGATGGCTAGCAGTGGATGATTCATCTTATTTAAAAACAGAAGTCTGGTTTTATGGATGTCTATGAGAAGATGGACTCAATGGACACTTACTTGAGTTCATGATCTATATTGTTAGCTTCAGGTTTGACCAAATACAAAGGTTTATTTTTTCCCCAGTACAGTCAAAAATTAAAGTAGGGGATTCTTTAGGGAGGACCTAAAATCCAGTTGACAAGTTGCTATATGTGTCCCTTCTCAGAGATTTCCATCTCTGGCTTGTCACATCTGGTTTCAAAACACCAGGATGACGATAGCGATAGCTTCCCCACAGGATTTCACCAACCAGTGGATGATGACAGGTGGTTACATCTATACCTGAAATGGCCACTGTTCATCCAGACAACATAACAGTGCTTTCTTTGGGTCCTCAGCAATACACACACTCCAAGTGTGAAGAAATACTTGTTAGGTAAAGTGATGGGCAAACAAACATACAGCCGTTCCTTTGCTTATCAGATCAGATGATTGGGTGTAGTGAAAATGGTGTTGCTCATAGTGACTCACTTAGAGGATTATTACCCAGCTCTGCAGTTTTGGTCATTTTCTTCTTCAGAAAAACTCTGCTGTGCTGCAGCAAACAGCACACCAAGAGTTAAGAACTAGCTTTTGAAAGCAGCAGAGCCATTAGTTGCTAAAAAGCCACACTTTCCCTCGAGATTCGGTTAACACCTATAAGTAAATATTGGACTTACATTAGCTGGCCTAAAACACAACTCCTAATGGATGTTAATGGCTCTGTGTGTGCTGCTTGTGTATAGGTGGTGTGCTTGCAGCTTGTTTCGTGTGACAAAACAAACAAATGTTAGCATCAGATAAAAACATACCACAAGAGGAAACTGAAACCTGTCGGAGTGTGTCAAAGAACTGAATGATGCTTTGATATCGATCAGATTTTTAGCTACAACATGAGGGAAAGTGGGATGTTTTAAGGCCGTGGAGCGATTATTGACCACGCTGGGGATAAACTATTCAGAAACATGCATCTCCCGTGCACTGTCGGCTTATCGGTTTTTGACACATAGCTTGTTAGCTAACATAAACAAATGTTTTCGATTGTTTCTACTTACATGAAGAATTTCACTCTTTCACGTTAAACAAATATGTAGAAACATCCTGTCTCAGAGTGATCCTGACAATTAAGGATGAATTTACTATTTCTAGGTTGGACTGCTGTTATTCGGTATTCATCATTAACGCCATGAAAAGCCTTCAGTTGATCCAAAATGCTGCACCGAGAGCACTGACAGGGATAATAAAGAGAGAGCATATCTCTCCTATATTGGTTTCTCTTCATTGGCTGTCTGTTGAATCCAGAGTCTAATTAAAATTCTTTCTCCTCACATACAAGGTCTTGAATAATCAGGCCCCATCTTATACCAAAGCCCTCATAGCATGCTTCCTAGGATATTTAAAAGCAGAATGGGAGGCTTTCAGGCTCCTCTTCTGGGGAACCAGCTCCCAGTTTGGAGAGGCAGATAGACA